TGAGTCAGGCTTGATTTTTAATAACCTTTTCCTGTTAAATAAATAAATCAAATCAAATCAAATCAAATACAATTCTCTTTTTTACAACTGGTCCCAGTGTGAACTCTTTTTTTCAGGAACTGGTTTCTGAAAACGGTTTGTTTACAAAATTCTTGTTTGTTGGACATTAAATAAACTATATTTGAGTTTATTCAGAGCTTTAAGGATTTAGTTTTTGAGTTTTAGAACATCTTTTTCTCATAAAACTGTTCCATAAACATTCATTTTGACATTCAGTTAATAAATAAGAGTTTCAGAGTTTAAGTTCTTGAACTCATTAATATCTGAATTAAAAACAGAGTTCTGGTTTTATTTTCCTGTAAAAACAAACGTATTATTTATTTATTTATTTAATTTAACATCGCCATCTGCTGGTCAATTGCAGAACTACAGGTTTTATTTGTTGGATTTGTCATCATCCATCCATCCATCCATCCATCCATCCATCCATCCATCCATCCATCCATCCATCCATCCATCCATCCAGATCCTGGAACCTTCTTCTGGTGACCTCCTGGTTGTGAGGCAGCAGCTCTACCCGCTGCTCCACAGTGCTCTCCTTCATTTATATAAAAATATTGTATGAAACTCGTGTTTGTGTTTTATACAATATTTGTACAACAGATACAGAAAATTTCATGCCAATGAAAAAAAGAAACTGGAGTTATTTTTAGTCACAAAAACAGAAAGAAAAGAAAAAAAAACAGAAGTGTTCTGGAGCAGTTCTCATCAGGTCCAGAGCTTTCTACCAGAACTGTCATGATGATACTAGAGGACTGTAGATCTGACCAAAGGGAAATAAAATCTGTAAAGATAAAAATAAATGGTGTGAACTTAACAACAAACATTTTAAAACAGAAATTTTATTATTTGCAGTAACCTGACATCCTGATTCATAAATCAAAGAAACGTTTATCCTGATTTCTGTCAACATGTGTTGATCTGCGGGTCTGCACTCAGTGTAAACAAACATGTTCTGATTTAAAGCGGGTGGCTGACCTCCATCAGGCTGGCTGCAGGTAAACAAACAAACAAATAATCAAACAAGCATACAAAAACAAAGTTTCACCTGTTTTCAGTCACTGTGGTCTTCTGTCAGGACCACATTAATCTGACGACTGTTTTTTTTTTAAATTGTTTTATTTGTTCTTATTGTTGTTTTCACATTTTAGCATTTCCTGTCTGTCAATAAGAAACTGACACATTTCTTTAGTTTTTATGTTTTATAGACGAAATTTTCAAAGATAAAAGTTTGGAAACGATTTTAGGAAATAAATAAATAAATAAATAAATAAATAAACAAATCATTCATTCATTCATTCATTCATTCATTCATTCATTCATTCATTCATTCATTCATTCGATCCTAACCGGTCCTGGACGCGTGCAGTTTGCTCCGGACCTGTAGGGGGCGCTGCTCCTCACAGTCCTACATCCGGGTCCGGGTCAGGGACCAGGATTGGTTCCTCACGCTGAAACCAGCATGGCAGCAAAGAACAGGAGGCGCAGAATGTCCGACCCGGTTCTGCCCGAAGAAGAGGTTCTGGAGCAGGAGGAGGAAGGAGGTGAGGACGAGCTGAGCCTGGACGAGGTCCTACGACTCGGAGGGACTCGGGTAAGTTCGGTTCAGTTACGAGTGTCAGAACAGTCTGTGTTGTTTGGGTCGGTTCGGACCGAAGAACCTCTGGGTTCCACAGAGTCCTGCTCGGCTGTAGATTAAAGGACTGTTTCAGTTTAAAACGAGTTTAAAGTAAACAGAGAGGAGCGGAACATCCGGGTGTTTACCGTGTTAGAAGCTCCGCCCCCTTTTACATGACAAACTTATCAGCTGTTTGAACCTTTTAATAAACTAAAGAACCTCCTCAGAGCCGGATCTTTAAGGTTCTGTGGAGAACTCAGAACCTTTGAGGCTGAACTGAACCCGGTCTGGGTTCTGAAGAACTGACCCTGGTTCTGGTTGGTCCACAGGCGGACTACATCCTGCTGTCTGCCGTCAGCGACTCCAACGAGCTCGTGGATGGAGGGAAGAAAGGCGCCATCGATGACCTGGAGGAGGGCGAGCTGCAGGCCTTCATCACCAAACTGGGCATCCGGGCCTACGCTGAGCACCAGAACATCCCAGACGGGCCCGAGGACGGTTCTGATGGTTCCGACGGGCCCGAGGACGGAGGAGACCCTGGAGGCGATGAAAAGGTCAAAGGTCATCAGGCAGCGGCAGATGAAGAACCGCCCACTCCTCAGATCAAAGACAAGAAACCCAAGAAGAAGAAAAAAGAACCGGGTTCATCCAAGACCAAGCAGAACCAGAACCTGTTTGAGTTCCAGCCCCGGCAGTTTCTGCTCATCAGACCCAGAGTGAAGTGGTTCGAGCTGGAGTACGCCTCTGAGGGCTCGTCAGAACCACAGGATCCAGTTCTGGTGAGTCGGTACCAGACTCTGGCCCAGCAGCTCTTCGAGTCCGAGGTGGACCTGTACAGAACCAAGAAGAACATGCAGAAAGGAGCCAACTCAGCCTGGATGAAGACGGTGGTGTCCTCTGGTGTGCTGGCCGACAGGATGGCGGCCATGACAGTTCTGGTCCAGGATGCCCCGGTCCACTCGTTGGACCACGTGGAGACGCTGGTGACCCTGGTGTCCAAGAAGGGCGGGCGGAGGACGGGTCTGATGGCGCTGGACACGCTGCGGGACCTGCTGCTGTCCAACCTGCTGCCGGAGCACAGGAAGCTCCGCCCCTTCGCCCAGCACCCCTTCCAGGACCTGGAGGAGCGGGCGGGCGGGAACCGGGACGCCCGGGACCGCCGCCTGGTCCTCTGGTACTTCGAGGACCGCCTGAAGGGCCTGGCGGCCCGCTTCGTGGAGGCACTGAGCGCCACGGCCCGCGACACGGTGCCGGCGGTCCGAACCAAGGCGCTAAGCTCCGCCTACCAGCTGCTGAGCGAGCGGCCCGAGCAGGAGCGGGCCCTGCTGGGCCAGGTGGTCAACAAGCTGGGAGACCCCGCCTACAAGATGGCCGCCAAGGCCTCGCACCTGCTGGAGCTGCTGCTGCGGCGCCACCCCAACATGAAGGCGGCGGTGTGCGAGGAGGTGGAGCGCCTCCTGTTCCGGCCCAACCTCGGCGCCAAGGCCCGGTACTACGCCGTGTGCTTCCTGAACCAGGTGGTCCTGAGCCACGAGGAGTCCGGGCTGGCGGCCCGCCTCCTCGCCCTCTACTTCTCCTTCTTCCAGACCTGCATCAAAACCGGATCCGTGGAGTCCAAGATGCTCAGCGCCCTGCTGTCCGGCGTCAACCGGGCCTACCCGTACGCCGGCGCCGGGGACCAGAAGGTCAAGGAGCAGCTGGAGACCCTGTTCCGGGTGGTCCACCTGGCCCGCTTCAACACGGCCGTGCAGGCTCTGATGCTGCTCTTCCAGGTTCTGGACTCGCAGCAGAGTCTGTCGGACCGCTTCTATGTGACCCTGTACAGGTAGGACCGCTGATCCGGGTCTGCAGAACCCGTACCGGACCCCGCTCAGGCTAAAGGTTCTTGTTGTCCTGTGCAGGAAGCTTCTGGACCCGGGTCTGTCAGGCTCCTCCAGGCAGAACCTGTTCCTGAACCTGCTCTACAAGTCCATGAAGTCGGACGTGGCGCCGAGGCGGGTCCGGGCCTTCATCAAGAGGCTGCTGCAGGTCGGCGCCGAGCAGAACCCCAGCTTCACCTGCGGGGCGCTCTTCCTGGTCTCTGAGGTTCTGAAGGCCAAACCGGGCCTGAAGGTTCTGCTGCAGGAGGCCGGGGTGAGTATACCAGTCTGGGTCTGCTCTGGACCTGGTCTGAACTGGTTCTGAAGCCAAAACCTTGTGTGATGTAGCTTGAACCGGGTCAGAACCGGTCCAGAACATTGATTAATGGTTCTGTTGGGTTCTGCAGGTCGGGGAGGATGAGGAGGATTTTAAAGACCTTTCAGAGGACATGAGTGATGAAGAGGAGAAGTTTGTGGATGCAGACAGAACCGAAGACGGGTCGGGTCCAGCAGGGGGCAAACCCACAGCATCATGGGTCCATCACCAGAACCTGGAAGGTGTGTGGTTCTGATCCGTGTTGGACAGGTTTTATGGCTGAGACTGAGACCAGAACCACCTGATGGTCCTGGTTCTGGTGTTTAACGGTTCTGGTTCTGATGTTTGGGTTCTTCTTGCAGGACGCAGGAGTTCTCAGAACTACGACCCGCTGCACAGAAACCCGTTGTTCTGCGGCGCCGATCACGCCTCCTTATGGGAACTGCACAGGGTGAGAACCGAGCCCAGAGTTCTGACCCGAGCCGGGTCGTTGGGTTGGTATTGTTCTTGTTTTGAACCGGGTCATGTGTGTTTCTGCAGCTGGCTCAGAACTTCCACCCGTCTGTGGCGCTGTTCGCTAAAACCCTCCTGCAGGTAAAGCCCCGCCTCCACACCTAGCAGGACCCAGATCCTGTAGAACCGGGTCTTCCTCTGGTAAACCCGGTTAACGTGGTTCTGCTCCACAGGGAGACTCCATACAGTACTCTGGAGACCCGCTCCAGGACTTCACCCTCATCAGGTTTTTGGACCGGTTCGTTTTCAGGAACCCCAAACAGCTGAAGGGAAAACGTAAGTCCTAGACCGGTCTGGTACCGGTCCGGTTTTCAAGGAAACACCTGTGTTTTGATTGACAGCTGATTGTTTAGACCTGGACTGGGTCAGACACCAAGCTGTGGTTTTGATTGGGTTGTCCAGGTCCAGTCATCAGGTTTAGTCCAGGTGGTTCTGGTTCTGGTTCTGGTTCTGATGTTTGTTCTGTTTTGATCAGAAAACACAGACTCTGTGGTGCTGAGACCCAAACAGAGGACTCCTGTGAACCCCCTACCAGGTGAGACCGGTTCCACGCGGACCACAACAAGTCTGACATCAGCTGACTGTCCTCCTGTCTCACACTGTCCTCCTGTCTCACACTGTCCTCCTATCTCACTCTGTCCTGTCGTCTCCTGTCTCACTCTGTCCTCCTGTCTCACTCTGTCCTCCTGTCTCACTCTGTCCTCCTGTCTCACTCTGTCCTCCTGTCTCACTCTGTCCTATCGTCTCCTGTCTCACTCTGTCCTCCTGTCTCACTCTGTCCTGTCTCACTCTGTCCTCCTGTCGTCTCCTGTCTCACTCTGTCCTCCTGTCGTCTCCTGTCTCACTTTGTCCTCCTGTCTCACTTTGTCCTCCTGTCTCACTCTGTCCTATCGTCTCCTGTCTCACTCTGTCCTCCTGTCGTCTCCTGTCTCACTTTGTCCTCCTGTCTCACTCTGTCCTATCATCTCCTGTCTCACTCTGTCCTCCTGTCGTCTCCTGTCTCACTTTGTCCTCCTGTCTCACGTTGTCCTATCGTCTCCTGTCTCACTCTGTCCTCCTGTCGTCTCCTGTCTCACTCTGTCCTCCTGTCGTCTCCTGTCTCACTCTGTCCTCCTGTCGTCTCCTGTCTCACTTTGTCCTCCTGTCTCACTCTGTCCTATCGTCTCCTGTCTCACTCTGTCCTCCTGTCGTCTCCTGTCTCACTCTGTCCTGTCGTCTCCTGTCTCACTTTGTCCTCCTGTCTCACTTTGTCCTATCGTCTCCTGTCTCACTCTGTCCTCCTGTTGTCTCCTGTCTCACTCTGTCCTCCTGTTGTCTCCTGTCTCACTTTGTCCTCCTGTCTCTGTCCTCCTGTCGTCTCCTGTCTCACACTGTCCTCCTGTCTCACTCTGTCCTGTCGTCTCCTGTCTCACTCTGTCCTCCTGTCATCTCCTGTCTCACTCTGTCCTCCTGTCTTCTCTTGTCTCACTCTGTCCTCCTGTCTCCTCTTGTCTCACTCTGTCCTGTCCTTTCCTGTCTCACTCTGTCCTCCTGTCGTCTCTTGCCTCACTCTGTTCTCGTCTCACGCTGTCCTCCTGTCTCAGTCTGACCTCTATCATCTCCTGTCTTACTCTGTCCTCCTGTCGTCTCTTGTCTCACTCCGTTTTCTGTCGTCTTCTGTCTCACTCTGTCCTGTCGTCTCCTGTCTCACTCTGTCCTCCTGTCATCTCCTGTCTCACTCTGTCCTCCTGTCATCTCCTGTCTCACTCTGTTCTCTTGTCTCACTCTGTCCTCCTGTCTCACTCTGTCCTCTGTCCTCCTGTCGTCTCCTGTCTCACTCTGTCCTCCTGTCTCACTCTGTCCTCCTGTCATCTCCTGTCTCACTCTGTCCTCCTGTGTCACTCTGTTCTCTTGTCTCACTCTGTCCTCCTGTCTCACTCTGTTCTCTTGTCTCACTCTGTCCTCCTGTCTCACTCTGTGCTCTTGTCTCACTCTGTCCTCCTGTCTCACTCTGTCCTCTGTCCTCCTGTCTCACTCTGTCCTCCTGTCTCACTCTGTCCTCCTGTCATCTCCTGTCTCACTCTGTCCTCCTGTCTCACTCTGTCCTCTGTCATCTCCTGTCTCACTCTGTCCTCTCCTGTCTCACTCTGTCCTCTGTCATCTCCTGTCTCACTCTGTCCTCTCCTGTCTCACTCTGTCCTCTGTCCTCCTGTCGTCTCCTGTCTCACTCTGTCCTCCTGTCTCACTCTGTCCTCTTGTCCTCTTGTTAGTCAACTGTCCCGAGTTCCTGTCCAGGGATGAGAGTCAGATTCGTGTTGATGAAATCTTCTTTCACCGGTGAGTCTCAGACGTCACAATGGACTCTTTGAAAGTGGTTCTGGTCCGGTTCTGACCCTGTTCTGGTTTGGTTCTTTCTCTCCAGCTTCTTTAAGAAAAGGCAGCAGGAGAAACAGAGCCGGCAGCCGAGGAGAGATGGAGACAATGAGAGCGTGGAGGACGTGGACGATGACGAGTTTGAGAAAGTTCTGGGTGAGTTCAGATCAAATATTTTACTAACAGACAGCGGATCACTGAACCACAGGATCACAGGTCTCTCTGGTCTCTGATGGGTCATGTTCTCTGCTCCAGATTCAGCTGAAGGAGACTCGTACTTCACAGACGTGGCTGAAGATCTGGACTTCGCTGGGTAGGTCCCTCCTCTTCCTCTCTCATCATCATCACCCTCTTCCTCTCTCATCATCATCACCCTCCTCTTCCTCTCATCATCACCCTCCTCTTCCTTTCCTCCTCTTCCTCATCATCACCTTCCTCTCTCATCACCCTCCTCTTCCTCTCTCATCATCATCACCCTCCTCTTCCTTTCCTCCTCTTCCTCTCTCATCACCCTCCTCTTCCTCTCTCATCATCATCACCCTCATCTTCCTCTCTCATCACCCTCCTCTTCCTCTCTCATCATAATCACCCTCCTCTTCCTCTCTCATCATAATCACCCTCCTCTTCCTCTCTCATCATCACCCTCCTCTTCCTCTCCTCCTCTTCCTCATCATCACCTTCCTCTCTCATCATCATCACCCTCTTCCTCTCTCATCATCATCACCCTCCTCTTCCTTTCCTCCTCTTCCTCTCTCATCACCCTCCTCTTCCTCTCTCATCATCATCACCCTCCTCTTCCTTTCCTCCTCTTCCTCTCTCATCACCCTCCTCTTCCTCTCTCACCATCATCGCCCTCCTCTTCCTCTCTCATCATCATCACCCTCCTCTTCCTCTCCTCCTCTTCCTCATCATCACCTTCCTCTCTCATCATCACCCTCTTCCTCTCTCATCACCGCCCTCCTCTTCCTCTCTCATCATCATCACCCTCCTCTTCCTCTCTCATCATCGCCCTCCTCTTCCTCAGGAACGTGAAGGGGAAGACGGGGAAGAAGAAAGGGGACGAGTCAGACATGGACGACTCAGATGTGGACGAGTTGGACGATGAAGAGGTGTCTCTGGGCAGCATGGATGAGGAAGACTTTGGTGACGAACTGGAGGAGGAAGGAGGAACCTTCATGGATCCTAATGAAGATGATGGTAGGAAATGGTCCGGTCCTTGTCTGTACTCAGTGGGTTTTATTGGACCCAGGTGGTCTCTGTGCTGGTTCTTCTGAAACCAGTTTTTTGTTCTTGTTCAGATCCAGAGCTGGAGGAGGAAGAGGAGGAGGGTGGTCAGTATGATCCTAACATCTTCATCATTTCATTGTGTTCTTTAGAAACAAACTGGTTTTATCTTCAGGTTCAGACGAGCAGATGGACGTTCCTGATGTGGTTCCTCAGTCCCAGAAGAAGAAGAGGAAGTTCTCTGAGCAGCGGAACCTCTCCGGTTCTTCAGGTTTGTAAATTTATGTAGATTTGTTAGTGGTACAGTTCTGTGGAGAACCTTTGAACTTTGTCAGTTCTGTAGAGAACCTTGGAACTTTGTCGGTTCTGTAGAGAACCTTTGAACTTTGGCGGTTTTGTGGAGAATCTTTGAACTTTGTCGGTTCTGTAGAGAACCTTGGAACTTTGTCGGTTCTGAACTTTGTCGGTTCTGTGGAGAACCTTTTGAACTTTGTCGGTTCNCCTTTTGAACTTTGTTGGTTCTGTGGAGAACCTTTTGAACTTTGTCAGTTCTGTAGAGAACCTTTGAACTGTTGGTTCTATAGAGAACCTTTGAACTGTCAGTTCTGTAGAGAACCTTTGAACTTTGTCGGTTCTGTAGAGAACCTTGGAACTTTGTCGGTTCTGTAGAGAACCTTTGAACTTTGTCGGTTCTGTGGAGAACCTTTGAACTTTGTCGGTTCTGTAGAGAACCTTGGAACTTTGTCGGTTCTGTAGAGAACCTTGGAACTTTGTCGGTTCTGTAGAGAACCTTTGAACTTTCTTGGCTCTGTAGAGAACCTTTGAACTTTGTCGGTTCTGTGGAGAACCTTTTGAACTTTGTCGGTTCTGTAGAGAACCTTTGAACTTTCTTGGCTCTGTAGAGAACCTTCGAACTTTGTCGGTTCTCTGGAGAACCTTCGAACTTTGTCGGTTCTCTGGAGAACCTTCGAACTTTGTCGGTTCTCTGGAGAACCTTTGAACTTTGTCGGTTCTGTGGAGAACCTTTTGAACTTTGTCGGTTCTGTAGAGAACCTTTGAACTTTCTTGGCTCTGTAGAGAACCTTTGAACTTTGTCGGTTCTGTGGAGAACCTTTTGAACTTTGTCGGTTCTGTAGAGAACCTTTGAACTTTCTTGGCTCTGTAGAGAACCTTTGAACTTTGTCGGTTCTGTGGAGAACCTTTTGAACTTTGTTGGTTCTGTGGAGAACCTTTTGAACTTTGTCAGTTCTGTGGAGAACCTTTGAACTATCGGTTCTGTAGAGAACCTTTGAACTGTCGGTTCTATAGAGAACCTTTGAACTGTCAGTTCTGTAGAGAACCTTTGAACTGTCAGTTCTGTAGAGAACCTTTGAACTGTCAGTTCTGTAGAAAACCTTTGAACTTTGTCGGTTCTGTGGAGAACCTTCGAACTTTGTCGGTTCTGTGGAGAACCTTCGAACTTTGTCGGTTCTGTGGAGAACCTTTGAACTTTGTCGGTTCTGTGGAGAACCTTTGAACCTTGATGGTTCTGTAGAGAACCTTTGAACTTTAACTTCTTGGATTGTTTCAGGTTCCACTAAAGGAAAGAAGTTGAAGAAAGGAGCAGCAGCCATGTTTGCTTCAGCTGAGGAGGTGAGGCAGTTTTCTGTTCAGCTGACGACACGAACACTTTCATCAAATCTAATTAACGTTTTAATTTATAATTTTGTGTATATGTACTTGTATATGTGTATAAATACTTGTATATGTGTATAAATACTTGTACATGTATGTATTTGCATGTCTTTCTTTAGTTCGGCTTGCTTCTGGATGAAAACACCAACTCCAGATTCAGCATCGGCCTGAACGCCATGGCAACCAGTGATAAAGCAGGTAGGACCTGAAGCTTGACCTTTGACCTGTCAGCAGACAGGAAGGGTCTTTCCCGATCTGTGGCTCCTCCCTCGCCCTACACACTACACTCACTGCGAAGCCCCCTTGCAGCTGAACTGAGCGTCTAGAAGACGTTTTGTTTAGGGCTGCACCGATTAATCGACAACTAATCGATTATTAAAATAATCGATGACTAATTTAATAATGGATTGTTTTCCTTTTTTTTTGTTCTTTACTTTTTCTCTCCAAACTGCTTTGACACCTTCCACTGCCACATCTRCCTTTCTGTCCTTGACACACATGCACAGTAGTGGTACATGGGGTAGGCCGTGGACGTCACAAGTAGGGCTGCACCGATTAGTTGAAATAATCGATGACGTCGATTATGTAAATTTGTCGACGCAGATTTTTTATTATCAATTCGCTGTATTACATAACCACCAGGTGAATGTTCAGGCAATTCCATTTCGGTTCCTAAATGCATCATTGCGACCGTATTGGCATAAGAGCGGTGAGTTTTCCATGCTTGTCCTGAACGCAGCATCACAAGAGCGTAATGACATCAGCAGCTGCTGCTTCAGTTCAGTCTGAAGCTTGAAAACAACCTCGCAGCTCCTGGAGTAAAATTTACCAAACAGACCGCCTCTGAATTATCTGGTGGATTAATTAATTATCTTGTGAACACGACGTTTGCTTGCTCAAAGTAAATAAAGTACCACCACTTTATTTACTTCATCCACCATTAAACAGAGACCGGTGTTAGGTCGAGCTGCGTTCCCCCATCAGACGGTTCCCCCATCAGATGGTTCCCCCATCAGACGGTTCCCCCATCAGACGGTTCCCCCATCAGACGGTTCCCCCATCAGATGGTTCCCCCATCAGACGGTTCCCCCAGCGTCTCAAACAACAGAGGAGCTTCCCGACACACGTCTGACCTAAAGAGCACAAGCAGCCAACAAGTGTTGGACGTGTTCTGGATGTTCAAAACGTAGCTTAAATACCTTTTATTAATTTTAACTGCATCCTCTTTTGTTTATTTGATTTAAACTTATTTGCCTTCCATGGACCTCCATCACATAATGTTTCTAGCAGGGAAATGACATCAATAGAAACACGTGGAGCTGGATTTTAATTTGTACAATAAGACAAAACAGTCTTGTTGTTTTCAACAGTTTTCACCTTAAAGAAATAAATTACACAACTGATGTTACAATACAAAGAGTTGGATGTTGTCTTTATATTTGTTAAATTTTATATATTGAGAAATATGTTAAATAAAAAATAATAAATAAATGTTTATTATAGTTTTTCCAGAGTGACTTGAATTTTGCATGATTTAGTTCATTTGTTAGATTGTTAACATCTTGCACTATATTTCTTTTAGTTGAATTTTATATGCTTTGGTTGACATTTTATGTTGATGTTAAATCTTTTAAGTTTTTTTGTTAAAGAATTGACTCTAGAGTGCATATTTTGTGTTCATGAAAAAACGATTACAGAAAATATTACATTAAAGAACTGTTCTTGTTAATTTGATGAAAACATTTTAAATTTCCAGTGCACTCACATCAGAATAACGTATAGATTTGTTGTTAGAATAATCGATTAATCAAAAAAATAATCGTTGGATTAATCGATTAGAAAATAATCGTTTGGTACAGCACTAGTTTTGTTTGATAAAACAAAAAAAATATTTAATTAGGCCCACATTTTAGTTTTCAGATATGACTATGTGTAACAATGTTTGTTGTCAAAATAATTGCACTTTTAATATTTTTTTATCATTTATTTACCTTTTCTTTATTTTAAAAATTTTCCTTTCTCCTTTTTTATGTGGACCGTGGTTCTGTGTCATTAAATTTGAATTGATTATGATTTTTATATCCTTTGTAAAATTATATTTGTTGGTGAGGTGTTTACTTACTAAATATGTGTATAAAAACATATGTGGAACTTGTATTTATACGTCCCGTCCTCCTTGTCGACCACTATTTGGTGCTGCTCAAGTCTGCATTAGATGCCGACTCGCTGTGGAGGGTTTAATAAGCCACTCCCACTCGTACCTGATTGGTTTCGGATGGGACTTAATATGGCCAACCCTCAGCGGGCACTACAGAGTGAGTAGTGTGAGGGTGTAGCCACTGACTGGGAAAGGCCCACAGTGAGGTGTACTGACCTGATGCTTGACCTCTGTTGTTGGTTCTGTATAAATCTGATTATTAAACATTTTAACTCATTAAATACAGAAAAGCTGAAGGAAAAAATTTGATGTTTTCAAAACATTTTATTAAAATGATCTTATTCACATGAACATGTTGGACTTATCAGGACCAGGAACCAGTGCCCTGTGTTCCAGGTTTAGGTAGACCTTCTGGTACCTGCAGAAATCTGATGGTTCTGGTCTGGTCTGTGCAGGTCTGAAGCAGCTTAAGTGGGAGGCTCAGAGGGACGCCTGGATCCACGGCCGCGACGACAAGACTCTGCGCCGGAAGAAGACCTCCTTCAACAGGAGGAAGGCCGTGGGCTCAGCCCGGAAGTTCAGGAAGAGGAAGTAGTTCCTGACGCTGGACTCCTCAGTCCTGTTTGGTCGACCAGACCTGGCGGTCCAACTCACGGGTCCCGTAGACCCCGGCCATCTCATTGGAGCGATAATAAACTGGGACAGAAGCAGAAAATCAGCTGTTTGTTCTGGAAAAGTAGAACTTTCTTTGTCTTCAGAATCAAAGTTTTTATGAATATCCTGGTTCTTCTGGGACCAAGTCCAGTTCTGAGACCTGAGTCCACAGTCCAGCTGAAAAACTTGTAATATTCAGTCTTTGTAATAAAACTGTTATGTTGAAGCTACAGTTCCATCCTAGGCTCTGTTCCACAATAAAAACCATCAGCAGGTGGAGCCTGGACCAAGACCCCAAGACCAACAAAAACTGAACAACAGAGTTGAATGTGACCAGGAACCTGCAGACAAGACCTGCATCTGAAAACACCAGTCTGTCCTCAGCTAACTCCTCAGACCACCAGGCAGTGGTGGACAAATTACTCAACTCTAGTACTTGAGAGTAAAAATATTGATACTCAGGGTCAAATCTACTCTTCAAGTAAAAGTTACTCGGTCAAAAATCTACTCAAGTTAAAGTACTGAAGTACTTACTTTTGAAAATACTTAAGTATTAAAATTTACATGAATTTAAAAAGTATTTAAAAGTGCAAATTAAATTTTCTAATATCAGTACATTGCTGTATTTTCAGAGTGATTTTACAGAACCTTATAACTCAGAAACCACCTGATGTACTGACACATTGACCACTGTGGTACAAATTCACCACCTGTAAAGACTTCTGCTTAAAAATACAATAAAGTGAGTGATGAGTTCTTAAATGCAGAAATGTAGTTTATCTGCAGTGAACCCATAAGATACTTAAACTGATAAAACTATTTTTCAGTCCTAAAATCTCCAAACATGGAGCTGAGATATGACCATGGGTGCTCTGGTTTCTCTACTTTCCAATCGTCTCCATTGCTGGGTTCTGTTTGAAATGGAGGAGGAGCTCAGACTCATCTCACAACCATTAATGAAGATGATTTAATTCCAAATCTATCCCAGGTGTGAGCTACGACTGTGAATGGTTCCCCCTTGTGAGGAACAGTGTGGCCATGGTTACATTTCAAGAAAGAAAAACAGCAACAGCAGACCAAAGCTATGCTGAACCAAAAGTAACAAGTAACTAAAAGCTTCCTAAAAATGTAGTGGAGTCAAGTATAATATTTGTCTTTGAAATGTAGTGGAGTGAAAGTAACAAGAACCCCAAAAATAATTACTCAAGTAAAGTACTCAAAAAATGTACTTAAGGACAGTACTCAAGTAAATGTACTCCATTACTGTCCACCACTGCCACCAGGGTAGATCCTGGTCTAATGTAGACCTCAGACCACCAACAAACTCAAGAGTCCTTAGACATTAGGTTTGTGTGGAACCACAGGTTCACATGTAGCTGAAAACTGAAGACTTGGACCTGGTTCTCATCAAAACCTGGTCCAGTAGGATCTGCTTACCTTCCAGGGCTAAAGGGAACCGCTTGTTCACCGTGTTCCTGAAATCTGCAGGAGTCAAACAAAGAGGAAGTGTCAGCAGCGTTTCCTATGGTTCTAAAGGACTGGTCTATGGTTCTATGGGACTGGTCTATGGTTCTATAGGACAGGTCTATGGTTCTATAGGACAGGTCTATGGTTCTAAAGGACTGGTCTATGGTTCTAAAGGTCTGGTCTATGGTTCTGAAGGTCTGGTCTATGGTTCTGAAGGTCTGGTCACTGGATCTATAGGACTGGTCTATGGTTCTGTAGGACTGGTCTATGGTTCTATAGAACTGGTCTATGGTTCTATAGGATTGACCAATGGTTCTATGGGACTGGTCTGTGGTTCTATGGGACTGGTCCATGGTTCTATAGGACTGGTCTATGGTTCTATAGGACTGGTCTATTTTTCTATAGGACTGGTCTATTTTTCTATAAGACTGGTCTATTTTTCTATAGGACTGGTCTATT